GGGTTTGTTTGTTTTTTACCGTTAAATAATTTAAACTAAGAAGCTAAGAATGTGGTGTATAGTTGGACTTCTCAGCAAAGGCTTTCCTCTACCGGCGTATAGTTAATGAGTCATAAAACCAGTCAGCTAAGTTCTCCTTCCATGAGGGACTTTCTAAAGCTTAAACCCAAGATCCCTGTGCATCTCTGGCAGAAAAGAGGGTAGGCATCGGTGGTCTGCCTCAGCGGCACCAGGGGTCTTGCTGCAGTGCCCCACGGCTGAGGTGGTGCACCTGTTCAGGAGCGCTTCTCCTCTGTGGGCATGTTTCTGGGAACCCCTGTCTTTGGTTTGCCCAAGGATAAGGACGGTGCAGGCTGGCAGATGGGGCTTCTCCTTCCTGTTCAGATTCTGTCAAGGGAGTTGGGTACCCACCTCTGTGCTCTTCGGAGGATAAGGTGCTACGGCTGCTGCTTTTCTTAGCATTTGCATGTGAAACTCTTATTTGAACCCCTTCGCCCAGGTGATGCTGCAGTTTTGACGCTGCATTAGTTTGGTTTGGGCAGCATTCCCTGCATTATGAAATTTCATGGTTCCAATTAAACTTTATAGAAAGAACTTAAAAGGTGTTTTTCTCTGTAAGTTATCAGTTGGTGCCAATCTCTTGCCTTAGTTCCTCCCCTCTTCCCTCTTACTTTTTTACTTGCTATTGGAATAATGCAGCCTTCCTTCATAATTCTGGACACCACATTTCCAGAAGGATTTGGACACATTAAAACAGGTTCATTAGAAGGGGGTCAGAGGAGGGCAGCAAAGATGACACAGGAACCTTAGGATATGTCCTGTGAGCACAGGCTGAAGGGAGAACTGGGAGGTTCTGTCTGGAGGAAAAAAAAGGAGGGAAGAGAGGATAGTGATGTTCGGGTGCGTAAAGGGAACCTACAGAGAAGATGATCAAAAACTATTTTCCATGGACACAGAAACTAGGGCCAGAAATAATGGCCAGGTTCTCAGATTTAGTTTAATCATAAGGAAAAACTTCGCAGCATTAAGATCTGTGCAAAAGTGGAACTTTCAACCTATGGAGGTGGTAGGTTCTCCATCTCTGGAGGTTTTTAAGAAGGGCTGGTCATGGATGGTGTGATTGGGTTTCCTGCTCATTACAGAGGGTTGAGCTAGCTCAGTGTTTCTCAACCTTGGCTATGCTGGCTGGGGAATTCTGGGAGTTGAAGTCCACACATCTTCAAGCATAGCTGGCTGGGGAATTATGGGAGTTGAAGTCCACACATCTTCAAACTGCCAAGGTTGAGAACGCTGAGCTGGATGATCCCTGCCGTCTGTTCCAACTCTACAGTTCTCTGATTCTGAGACTTTAACTTCCCTGATGGACCACAGGGTTGAACTGAACCCTTGGCTTTTCTTGGAGACGCGGCCAGGGCAGAGCATTTATGGATAAACATAAGGAGTTGGTTCACTGCTGAGTGCCCAGGTGGCCGATCCTGATGTGAGATCAAGGAGAAGAGGAAGGCGGATCAGCACCTCTCAGAAATTAGTCATATGGAAATTCTAAGATGTCAGGATGACCAGCACTGTCACTGCTGTGAATTGTGCAAGACAGTTGTGCTTCTTCCCACCCCCATTGTAACAGCTCCTGCTAACCATTATCGATTTTGTGTTGTACAAAACATATAAATGACAAGATGGTCAAAGCGGGCTGGAGGGAGTGACAAGCTGTAACCTGCAGGTTATGGGAATCCAGAAGGGCAGTGTGGAAGATACTGATGGAAAGGGGGCCCTAGGGGGAGGTTTTCTCTACCTTTTTGCACCCCACCCATCCCCGTCCCCCAACAGAGCAGTCTGGGCAGTTTGTGCACGGCCACCCCTGAGCACTGCGCCCCTGGGTGGGCCTCTCTGCGTCTCTTCCCCCCCTCCTTTGCCCTCTGAAGCCCAGTCCTCCCCCCGCAGGTAGCCGGAACGGGAGGGAAGGGAAGGGGCTCTGCCTCCCCTCCTTTGTTCTCAGCAGACAAAGCAGCCTGGCACACCGTTTTAATTATTGCTGTTATCTCCTCCTGCAGCACCCGTGTGGGTTGGCAGGCCTGCCGGTTGTTTGTGTCACTTTCTGATCTTGTTTGTGCAAACAGGAGATTATTTACCTGGGGCTGCTGCTGCGGCTTCAGCCCAGAGGCCACCTTAGTTTCCACCCTGCATGGGAAAGGGGGGGCGAGCGTGATTTATCAAGGTAAACCTGGAATGCTTAAGAGTGGCAGAAAAGCCACACGAATCCTGCCTTCTTTTGTACCTCAGGGAGCTGGAGTGGGACAGTAGAGCCCAGAAGGCGACCGGGAGCACCAGAGACAAGCCATTCAAAATTAAGTTGGACCAACCTTCCCCCACCAATTGTTTGGGGAGCAGCACCCCCAATTTCCCCAGCCCATGTGGCTTCTGGTGATGGAGGAACTCCAGCTGCCTCTACACCGTCTCTCTGACCTGGTTCAACATGGGAAAGAGAGTGGGGTGGGAAAGGGCCCCTGGCATTCTGCATCCGTAAGAAGAGCCATGGTGAATTTTCCCACAGTAGACCCACCAGCAGGCCGGGTTTCCCAGGGGCAGCTGGCCTTTCGAGAGGCCCACCTTGCTGGAAGACTAGAGTTGTGGCAAGAAGTAGCCACCTGGGAGGGTAGACAGTATGTCTTCCTGCTGGGGGTCCAGTTCCCCCGAGGCAAGACGGGTAGGAATTCAAGGGCAAGTGTTGTTCCTTGTTTGCTTTTGCTTCTGATATCCTGTGACTAATGGCAGGAGTTAGTTGGTGAAAGGGGTGGAAATGTGGATGGCCACAGCACTGGCTACGAAATGTGGTAAATCTGTGTGTCAGCTGACTTTACATCACATCCCATCACATGCTGTAAGTGCTTTATCACCCTTGCGCAGTCTGTTCTCCTTTGCATGCTAGAGAAATAGTGAGAATAACGCGCGCGCACACACACATACCCCTCTTAGTCAATAGGACTGTGTGGTAGTTTGGATTCAGTTTAGACAAGAAGTTTTGGAGGACCCTGGAGACAGTTGGGGCTGTTTTAATGAGTCGTAGAGAGATGCGGCATTTGCACTCCCACATGTTTGGGAGGACCTCTTCCAGATCAGATCTGGAGCACTGCGCAGCCTTCTCAGTCGAGTCGATCTTCCGTCACAATGGGCTCCCTTTGAGTCTCGCATTCCGAGGGCAGCAGTTCAGCAGCTAACAGGATGATTACCTGGGACTCTGCTGCTGCTTCCCAGGTGGTTTTCTTTGGGAAAAGAAGAGGAATTTGCAAAAGGGAAATTTATGGAGCTTCTGTTTCAAGGAGGGGGTTGAGCTAATTGGGTGAGAGCGTGCGGTTTTTCTTCTGACTGTGCCCGATGAGTTTTGGGGCCCTAACAGCACTCGCTTGAAAGTGCTTGAAGAGCTCAAGTGTGAAATTGCTGATGTCCTAGCCAAAACAAAAATTTCACATTTTCTGAAGGGAAGAAGGAGAGTCCTTCAAGGCCCTGGGCTGGGACTTCTGGTTTTAGCTTTTAGCTTCTTCCGAGATCCTTTTGACTCGGGTAAGCGGTGAGCTGGCCTACTTTGCAGACCACGCTCAGCTCTTCACGAGCGCGAAGAGCTCCAGAAGGCTTTAGTCAAACTGGGTTAGTGAATGCGGTTCAACTTAAGGGAGCCAAAGGGACGCCCCTTGGCGCAACCCCCCCTTCACCTGTGTGCAGGCGGGACCCAAACTGTCTGTGACTGGCCAAGAGACG